AAAGAAATGAGATATTTAGTGACCCTGCCTGAAAATGGCCTTACATTTAATTGAACTGTACTATCAACACATCTTTAATTCCTTTTGGACGCGATGTCCTAATATTTCAACTGTTATCAATAAGTCTTCTAAATATTGTATAAAGTTAAAGACTAGGATCACAGAATATAAGCCAATATATTGACCCTTTCTTCGATAATGTTACGTATAACTTTTATGTCCTAAATATTACGTTCTCCTGCTGATAAACCGTTGCCACAATTTAAATGTTTTTAGCTTAAAATGTGTGACATTTAAAGTAAGTTGTTACTTAGTCTGGTTCAAGTCGTACTATAAAATTTAGTAGACCTACTATTGAGCAGGTAATCCAGACTAGTTGTAACTCAAACTCCTCACAGCGGTTACGTCACGCTTTGCTACTTTACTGTACTGGTGCTGCGGGGAGTTTGGTTGTCAGCAGGACTGGTGTACAGTTTATTAGATCAAAATATTAAAGTCACTGTAATGTTTTGCGAAAAGTACTTAAATACCGAACAAACATTCCAACTTGAACCCTTAGTTTTTGCGGATTAACCAGATAATTGTTGGTAGAAAAATATGATATTAGTATTGATTGCACTATCTACAAAACCAAACAGAGTTCTTATAACTGGCAAAATTCGGTTGCACGTGATTTTCACACTATTGAATGCGTTGTGGACATAATTTTCTATTTTATGTCCATACAGTAAAATCACTACCAGTATTTTTATTACTCTTCAACCTAAAAAGTCTTATTGGATCTTTCGTTTGAATATATTTTGGAAAGATTGACATTTATGTCTGAAATAAAAAGAGAAATATCTATGTAAAAATATTCGTAAAATACGCTATGCACTTACTGAACTGACTTTTAACCTTGACCTTTTTTACATTTATGATAACGATACAAACGATTTTAAGAATCAAATTTCAGAACATTGTTTCCTAATTTTGTTCTTACTTTGCCAAATATAGACGTAAACATCTAAAAGTTTTACACACATATAATAACCCCAAATTAAAGCAGTTAAAAAAATGCCTCAAAGCGGCATGCCTCCAGATACATACTAATTTTCGTGAAAATCTAAGAAATTAATTTAAAAGTAAAATATTTGAAATGGAGCAAAGAAAGTAATTTACTCATTGCAAACGTCACTTACAGTTCACTGCCGAAAAGAGGTCAAAGTCTGTAAAAAAAGCCCTTACTGCGATACTGGTGATCATAGGTGTTCGGCGCGTTGATTGGTCACTACCCCGGGCCACCACCCTCACCCACTCTACAACCCTCCTACCTCTCAAAACTATGTAAACTGTAGTATTTTTCACTTTATACACGTTTTAATATTTGGTACATACTTTTAATTCAATTACCTTCATCTCCCACAAAAAAATTAAAAAAATGATATAATATATATTTACTAAAGGCATGCAACTCGCCGCTCATTTTTCAGCACTTATCTTAATATGAACTCCATAACTCCAACATTTTTTCACCCATTAGGAATTGATTACTCTGAAAGGAATTAAAGCTGTCATTACAATCATTTCAAGGTTTAAGAAGATATGCTATCTCGAAGACACCGCAAGTGTAATTCGACAGAGACCTGACCGCTGGTTTTTTGTCAAAATTACCCGACTAAACTGCAGTTTATTCGAAATGAATGAATATGTTTTTGTATTGCGCATATTACGGTGGCATATTTCTGCCACCTATGGTGGCATATTTCTGTCACCAGATAACCATATAACTAACTAGTTAATTAAGAGGTTAACTAGTTACGTAACTAGTTAACCTCTTAATTAACTAGTTAGGTATCAGGTTACCTAGTTACGTAACTTATTAACCTCTTAATTAACTAGTTAGGTATCAGGTTAACTAGTTACGTAACTAGTTAACCTCTTAATTAACTAGTTAGTTATCAGGTTAACTTGTTACGTAACTAGTTAACCTCTTAATTAACTAGTTAGGTATCAGGTTAACTAGTTACGTAACTAGTTAACCTCTTAATTGACTAGTTAGGTATCAGGTTACCTGGTGGCAGAAATATGATCAAACTATATTTTTATCTGTTATAACTGTTCAATCAAAACGTCATATAAAACTATAACTAACCGTTTTCCAATATGTCAAATTCCAAATCTAAATGCAAGTAAGTGTTCTGCAGAGTGTTCTCCTCTTTATTTTTTTGTACGGAGTATTTTCATTGGTCTAAGGTTTTTACACGACCAATGAAAATACTCCATACTAATGCATCCATGTATACATGTGTACTTTCATTTTGGATGGAGAATTAACAAATCTGAAAAACTGTTCGTTATAGTTTTTTATCACACACCCTTGCCGATGTTACGACTCCGTAAATATGGTATTGCACGGTTGACGTGACGTCATTTGCGTTATACAAACATAGCGTAAAGACGCGCTAAAAGTTAGCGTTATACTATAGGCACGTCAATGAAAAATGACTCTTATTTCACTTTAAACGGTCTTTATTTTGGGTATGTGATAAATAGAATATCAAATTCGTGTAAGTTCAATACTGAATATATTGCACTCGTTGAATAAAATAATATTATGCTCGCCAGAGGCTCGCATAATATAATTTTATTCAACTCGTGCAATAAATTCAGTATTGAACTTACACTCATTCAATATCCTCTATATATGATGTTTTGATTGAACAGTTATTACAAATAATAATATAATTCGATCATATTTATATGTGCAACACAAAAAAATATTCATTCATTTCGAATAAACTGCCATTTAGTCGGGTAATTTTGACAAAAACCAAGCGTTCAGGTCTCTGTCGAGTTCACTTGCGGTGACTTCGAGATTACATATCTTTTTATTACTTGAAATGATTGTAATGACGGCTTTAATTCCTTTAAGAATAATCAATTCCCTACCATTTGGTACCAAGATATTGAAAATGGGTGAAAAAATGTTGGAGTTATGGAGTTCATATTAAGATGAGTGCTGAAAAATGAGCGGTGAGTTGCATACCTTTACTAAATATATATTATATCATTTTTTATTTTTTTGTTGGAGATGAAGGTAATTGAATTAAAAGCATATACCAAATATTAAAACATGTTTAAGATGAAAAATACTACAGTTTACATGGTTTTGAGAGGTAGGAGGGTTGTAGAGTGGGTAAGGGGGTTGGCCCGGGGGTAGTGACCAATCAACGCGCCGAACACCTATGCTGGTGATATATACTTAAAATCAGTCATTAATTGCGAATAACATGTAAATTATAATTTGAATTTTCAATCTTTTTACTTTTCCTCAATTTTTTCTAAAGTTTGATTTTCTTGAAATATTTTTTGCTCATCTGGAGGCATGTAGCTTTAACATGTTGCTTTTATATCAAAATTTTAATGACTATATCTATGGTAATGAGAAGGATTCAATTTGAAAACAGAAATAGATATATTCCAATATTAACTTATTTCGGAGTAGCGACATTGATCTCGTTTTTGACCTACATTTGTAACCAACAGATTTCATTCTTACAAAACCTTCAGCTAAATAAGGACTTTTACCATTGTAGTCATAAAGTTAAAGGTTTAAATATAGTTTAGAAGTCTCTAAAAATATAGTTTTTCTTTCAATATTTACACAACTTTAATACCAAATATTATACCTCATTTGCATACGCCCTTCTATATTCAATATGACGTCATCCGGTCCATAAACCGCATACAGACCGGGGTCGGTCCATAAATCTTATGAAGACCGTTAAAACGTAACTTTCACGACGTGCGAATTTCACGACGACACAAAACAGGCGATAACTGTCAAAATGGCTAGGCGATTCCCCTCTTTATCAGAGACCGATTTATTTAATTTAATTAATAAAATGCAATATTAAAAGATGAGCATGATTTTTTGCTGCATCGCTTGAAAATAATAAACAGAATCCGACAAGGGGTTTGAGATATTGAACTGAACAATTAAAATTATTATTTAAAAGCAAATAATTGTAAAAATTACAGCAAAAAAAAAAAAAAAAAAACAAAGGAATAAAAGGATTAAATTCGGTATAATATAACAAATAAAACATGGCCTTTCGGGCAAAATGCAAGTTTACGGACTGGTTGGTCAGACCTCGGAAGGTATATGGCCCTCAGCTGCGCTTCCTCAGTCTGACCAACCAGTCCGTAAACTTTTATTTTGCCCGAAAGGCCATGTTTTATTTGTTAAATATTTGAAAAAACTAATACTAAGATACACAGTTGGTATTCATACTTGATACAAATCTATTTCTCGTACGGTAACTATTTCATACCAATGAATTACAATTACCGCAAAAATTATAACATTCGATCCTTGATTAACATACGATTCAATCAGACAAAAATGTTGCGATGCGGGTAATAAGGGGGTCTAACATTTCTGGCCTTTTGGTCAGGGATCTGGTAATTTCCTATTTATAATATGACCAATGTTTTGATTTGATACAAAAATACTTCGCGTAAGTTTATATTTAAGCTGACAGGAAAATGAAAGAAAATCAAATGCACCTTTGTTTTGTAATACATGTATAAAATCATATGGGCCTATATGGTGTTTTCATTAAAATTCGTACCGCTTAAATTTTTAGAAAGCCGTACATGTATTCTATGTTTTCACTGGTTGTTTGTCTGTATATGTGTAAAGATCTGACAATTTAAGCTGTAGCCAGAACATTTTATAACATTGTATGTCTTCTGTGCTTTGACCAAAAGCAGCCTAAATCGTTTCGTATAGCAAGTACATGTATTAGCATTACCAAACAAATATCACCTGCCCTAGCAAATACATGTATACATACGTGTTCGCTTCAGGCATGTACCCATTTTTCAAACCTGATTAGACAAAATCATAAGTGTCAACTTGATGGGAAAAGTGTCCAGTTTAACCAAATGTCAGCAAGATCTGGACGTAATATGTCGCAATACACTCTACAGCTTTGTATAAATACGGAACCCATTAGTATGATACGAATCACTTAGATTGTTTACCTTGAGCAAGAAAAATCAAGATGTCCATGTCTATGAAGATTTTGATATTGTGTATATTTGCGGGGATTGTGTGTGCTATGGAAAAACCATGCTGTATTAGCAAGAAATGGTTCGGTAAATTAAAGATTACAACATCAGCTTTGAAAAATGGAAGCACAATTCCGATCGTATCTGATGTAAGTATTGATTTACTTTACAGAAATTCAAATTATATATTTTCATGTCATACTAGGTTTACTAAATAAGAAAGGGATATATAAGTTTTCTCCTAGTAAAAATTGATATGTTTCATGGTGTAAGCAAATTATCAGCTTCTATCGCTATTTAAGGTCCATGTCCTCAAAACAAACAGCATTGTTGGATAAAATAATGGACTTAAACGTTTATGAATTTTTATCATATTATCGTTTTCAAGTTGATTTGGTTATATTTTATTCATTATTTTCCACAACAATGTGATAAGGGAAATAATGTAAGACAAGTGGAGGTTTTGATGCTAAAGAATGAAATCGCCGGATAGAAAAATGATTGTATACTCATAGATATATAAAAGTATCAGTTTAATGGTTCATGTATATAGAAAAGAGAAACAATGCGTTGAGTAACTGTTTATCCAAAATAAAACATCATATTCGAAACAAACTTGCACAGCAATATTGTCAAAAAATTGTTATCATTACAGTATTCATCATTACAGTATTCATCATGAACAATACGGATTGATAAAACAAAACAATAACAGTTAAGAATTAAGAACTTGAAAAAAGTGACCAGGAATAAAAGTTTTCCCTTGTCTTCAACAATCTTATCTCATCGTAAATACATTCACAGAGGTCATATCCATCGGATCCCGGAATATTTTTCAACCACAGATGTGACACATCTAATAAAAGTCACTTTCGATTACTTTTTTTCAGAATAAGTCACTTTTGTATTTTAGTCATGACCTTAGATCATTCTTATCGTAAAGAAGGCGTATACGCATAAAGAGATCTCAGAAAATCGCATTAAGAAAAACCGGAACCGTTAAAGATTTGTTTGTTTGTTTTGGGTTTTACGTCACATCGACACAGTTTAGTTCATATCGCGACGTTCCAGCTTTACTGGTGGAGGAATACCTCAGGTGCCCTTCCGTGCATTATTTCAGGCACGAACAGGCACCTGAGTAGAACCACCGACGTCCCGTAAGCTCGCTGGGTAGCTTCCTCACATGAAAAAATCCAAAGTCGTTGTCGGGATTCGAACCCACAGCGGTGAGGGGGAACCGTCAAAGAAATCTAAAGATCCCAGGAATTGACCACTGTCATATTGCTTTCAGAAAAGTCGAGATCGTATTAATCAAGAATTCCCGAGAAGAAAAACTGGAACTGTATAAGATATCCAAAAGTCGGGATCGTATTAAACAAGAGTTCCCGGGAAGAAAAACTGGAACCGTATAAGATAACTAAAAATCTGGAAACAAAGTGATCCCTCGGACGCATTAATTACAACAAAATTACAAGAGAATTGCAGACTCGGTTTTTATTGAGGAGCGGTACTCAATTCTCAACACTTAATAGTGCTGGAATCAGTGAACCCGAAGGACCAGAAAAATATAACAACACTGAAGTGAAGGCAACTTTTTACAGCTGCCACACAGCACTTGACACCTGCTGTTGTGAAGTATAAAAATCTGGAAACAAAGTGATCCCTCGGAAGCATTAATTACAACAAAACTACAAGAGAATTGCAGACTCGGGATCGTATTAAACAAGAGTTCCTGGGAAGAAAAACTGGAACAGTATAAGATATCTAAAAGTCGGGATCGTATTAAACAAGAGTTCCCGGGCCGTATAAGATATCTAAAAGTCGGGATCGTATTGAGGAAGAGATCCCGGGAATTGTTCATATGTCATAGTTGTTTAAAAGTGTTTTTTTTTTATTATAAATTATATTGGGAACATCTTACGATCTTTTCTAAAAATAATAATAATTATAAACGTGAACATAAATTTACACCAATATTGTGTATTAACAAACACTTGTTTTTCTGTGTTTTTCTGTTTTTAGCATTCATTTGATTTCCGCATTTCAAGTTTGTTATTAAAAAGCTCTGAATATATTTCAATCTTTAGTTGAAATCAATATACCCGTCGTTACATACGATATATAAAAAGTTAACGTTTTAATTGCCCTTCATTGCGACATATATGAATACAAATATAGTTTTTTAGTTTTCTCTATGTATTGTCTCTGTCCGTACTCTTTGTTCTATAGTAAATCAGTCACAATCGAGTGTAAAGTCTGGATTCCAATGTCCTTGATGAATTATCTGCTGTCTTCAACTTTAAAAATCAGCACTAGCTCAGTCAAATGACTCCGTCAGCCTTCTTATTTTTAAAGAAATCTTCATTCTGTTGTAACACTGTTTAAATTCACAACTTTAAAAACTTCTGACTGCTGGATGACAGTACATCTTTAATCCTTCCGCCAACAAATGAGAGCCCGGAGAATGTACAAACAAAAATCCAACTTTTAAAGGCATCATTTAACACATAAAACTACACAGATGCAATAATTACACTTAAATTATTGACTTCAAATGAGCCACTTAAAAACTTAATACTGAGCGTACCATATCCCGGATTTTCCCATACCGTCGTACTGTTTTGAAAACCTGCTCGACGGAAATCGACGGAATATAACGAAATCAACGATTATCATATACGTGCCTCTTTAGCATGACTTTATTTTGTGATGTTCTATCTAAACTAAACTGTTTAATTTATTTTTTTGATGTTCTTGTCCAAGGGCCGACAATATGCGATTGAAACGGTCGAATGACAGTCATGTGATTCCTACAAAAGAACAGGGTGAAATTGAAAATAATAATAATACAAAAGGTCTCATGAGCTATAAACAACCAAACTATTTAAAGCAGCATGCCTCCAGATTCATGCTAATTTTCATGAAAATTTTGAAAATGTATTTGAATGTGTAGTGTGAAGTTACCAAAAGGAAGCAATTTACACATTATCAATGGCACTTACAAACCACGTAAATTACCAACAAGTGGTCAAATATGCGTAAATAGCCTTTACTGCGTTAGTAACGCAATAGAAATATAATTGTAAATACTGAAAAAGTCCGTTATTAATCGCACATAATATGTAAAATATTACTTGAATCTTAATACTTTTTACTTTTCCGTACATCTTAGTAAATTTTTCTAAAGTTTGATTATATTGAAATATTTTGGCTCCTCTGGATGCACGTAGCTTTATTAGTAATGATAGATATAATCTCCGCTTATCTTATCCACTTAAGGCCACAGACAAATTATATGAAACAAACATGTACATACAAAGCGGCACATTTATGGAATACTAAGTACATTTCCAACTGACATAAAACTACAAAGTAAATTGTCATCTTTTAAGGGCAATCTAAAGGATTATTTAATAAAAACAAATTTAAACTGATTTTTTAAACAGATTTTTTTAGATCTCTTTTTGTTTGTTTGTTTGTTAACATTGATTGATGATGGCATGTGCATACGAAGTTAAGATACTAATGCTAAATTATTTATAATCCCGAAAAATGTTATGTAATTTGTAAGAGTGTTTGTCTTAATTATATTGCTAGTTATTGTAATTTCTGATTTCTGATTATATTTGTATAGAAGGTCATATTGGAAATAAGTTGTATGTTTATTATGTACTCTTAATAGTCACCTTCTCAAAAAAAGTTATTATTAATATTCTTTATATTATTATTATTATTCTTTATATTATTATTATTATTATTATTATTATTACTGGTGTCATTTCAAATTTCATTCATGATTTCTTTATTATAAAAAAAAACGTTCGACACTATCAAATTGTAATGTTTCTTAAGATGTCAATATTTGTATGTTTCAATTCATTGAGCATCGTTATTATACGTGTGAATTTTAATGAAAAATAATTGTGGTCTTTAATTGTTTAATAAATAATTTGTTTTTTTCAGATTTTAAGGCCTTCTCTACCATAGATATGTTTTGAAACTGTTACAACTAATAAATACCTCAAATGTGTGTATTTTTTATATTTAGCTTAAAGAGGCCGACATTTTAAACACATGCACCATACAAATATTTAGAATCAGTACTCTAATAGTCTCTATTTTCTTAACAGAATCGCATAATGATGGACTATGACCTTGACCTTAAAATGGAAAGAATATATGGAACAATTTATTCTGATGGTCCTGACGGCATGCAAGCTTATAATTACACAGTGTACAACGACTTCATGCATGTAAGTACAGTGAATTTAAAACAATTGATATAGTGGTAGATATTTGATGGAATTAGCTTAGTGAATAATATTCAACGTGCAAAGCGCGAGTGAAAAATAAATACACACACACAATGGTCAATATATGTAATATTATTATTTGTTTCAGAACCTTTGGTAATATTTCTTAAACTTTTTCCTAGCTTGAAAACGTTGATTGAGGCGTCCGTGGCCGAGAGTGTTTTTTTTACCTTTAACTACTTGTCTTTCATCGCCAACTTGCAAAACGTCGGTGGTTCTCCGTGCCACCGAACCTCTTCCGAAATAAAGGGGAAATATCACATCGAGTGTTGATCAAACAGTATCTCTTCTTGACATATTAGATAAATGCATTGTTATGCAGTATTAATAAACTAGTTTGTATTTAAGGGTAAAAGTTATGTTCTTGATGAAACACACACCCAGTGCAACGTGACGATGCTTCCAACAGACAGAGAAAACAGTATGCATTGTGTTCCAAGTAAGGAAACATTTTTATAAATTGAGCATCTGAATATCATTTCGGAGAAACACACGAGACCAAATCATTGTCTTTTTGTGCAACTTCCAATATAGTGAAGAAAACTAGGTTCCTCTGTTTCTTAAACAAATCAGCCGCGTCACGACAAAACCAACATAATGGGTTTGTGACCAGCATGGATCCAGACCAGCCTGCGCATCCGCGCAGTCTGATCAGGATCCATGCTGTTCGCTATCAGTTTCTTTACTTGTTATAGGGTCTGTAAGCGAACAGCATGGATCCTGATCAGACTGCGCGGATGCGCAGGCTGGTCTGGATCCATCCGCGCAGTCTGATCAGGATCCATGCTGGTCGCAAACCCATTATGTTGGTTTTGTCGTGACGCGGCTCAAATCATTTTTTTGGAGATGTAATTTTAGTGGTTGGATTACATTCATATATACGTCCATACATGCGGACAGTCATACGTACATACCAATACTAGTAATAAAATTTAAAGTAAAAAATCCTCCGGCATTCTACTGTGCTAAATGTGTTTCGATATTTGAATTGACAGTTTTTCAATATAATATTGCCTTTGAATTATACTTTTGTTTCTACATTAGTTTTAAAGTGGAACCATTTTAGTACGTGTATTTGTCACTTATGTATTTCAAGGTTCTTTAAGATGGGATGCCACGTATACATATGGATCTGGTCCCGAGGCCCTGCACGTGAATTCCTGGGAAGGCGTGTATGAGAACTTCCATTTCAGTATGCAGACATCTGTCAATGACTGTACACCCGTATCTATGACAAGAATCGGAATTGACTCTGAAGGTAAATACTGTGAATTCACTTAATCTAGGGGTCATGAAATTTCGTGGTTTTGACAGTTTCGTGGATTCTTTAATCTGTTTATTGTCTATTTTTGCAAAAGGTTGCATGCAAATAATGTAGTTAAAAAAAAATCTTACACGGGACAAAACGAATTTTGTTTTGATCTTGAATTCGTGGATTGACCTATCCACGAAAACTACGAAAATTCATGCTATTTTATCTATTCTTTAACTCGTGTAAATTCTACAAACTTTGTCACTTCCCTGTTATAGATTTTAAACTCTGATGAATCGGTAAACAATAGTATAGAATTGTTATCTGTAAATATATATTTTCAAAAGTACTGAAATCAAAAAACTTTTGCTTTGCTACCCATGATCATGCTGACGATTATATGATATTTATAATACACGAAAAATGGCGGATAATGCCGAACGGTTATTAATATGACCTTTATAATGTGAAATCGTTTTGATGTGATTTTGATCGTCTTTTCATAAAAGCGCTATGAAAAATTATAGTCCTAACCAAAACATTCGATTACTTATATGATTTTGCTATAGTTTGCTTTACGACAGTAACATCATTGGAGTTTTTTTTAAAAAGAAGAAGATATAAAACAAATGTCTTTCGCACTTACGCTTGAATCACGTTAGCTGAATACTTGTATAATAAAAAAGTTGCGATTTTTCTGAAATATGTATTTATATCCTGTCTTGTCTTCTTCTCTAGGTACAAGAATTGTGGAAACTGTACTTTATGTTGATATGGTGCAATACCACGTGAGTGGCAACGAATCCGAGGTGTTTAGAATTCCAAACTCGTGTATGACCGTAAGTGTAATACGATATTAATAATTATGCTCAAATTTGATATTTGGAGAAAAAGATAATTACTATACAATCTCTTATTTGAATACACACAGAGAACATATGAGCCGTGTCACGACAAAACCAACATAATGGATTTGCGACCAGCATGAATCCAGACCAGCCTGCGCTTCTGCGCAGTCTGATCAGGATCCATGCTGTTCGCTATCAGTTTCTCTTTGAAAGCGAACAACATGGATGCTAATCAGACTGCGCGGATGCGCAGACTGGTCTGGATCCATGCTGGTCGCAACCGCATTACGTTGGTTTTGTCGTGACGCGGCTCATATGTAACGTTTAATTTCAAAGTGTCATTTAAAAAGAATAAACCACATTAATTTGACAAGTAACAGGGAAGCTTCCTAAATATAAATTATACATTCACTTATTCAAATGAGACATATTCAGAAAGAAATTTACTAGATTTCAATAAATTTCTGCAATAAAAGTATTATACCCAAAGATGAGCATAGTATATCTATAAGCCCTGTGTGAATTATGACGGGTCTTTTAGTAGGCGAGATTGGATCCTGATAACTCTCATAGTGGATCAAGTTAAGATAAGTTACTGGTGATTGTCATCATGTCTGATAACAAAAGATATTTGAGCCGCGTCACGACAAAACCAACATAGTGCGTTTGCGACCAGCATGGATCCAGACCAGTCTGCGCATCCGCGCAGTCTGATCAGGATCCATGCTGTTCGCTTACCAACCCTATTACAAGTAGAGAAACTAATAGCGAACAGCATTGTCCTGATCATATTTGGGTTTTAGTTCACTAAAAGCTCTTCTTTTGCATGGTTAAGATTTTGCATTTGTGTGTTTGTTCGGACTTATTTACTGAAATTAGGTTTATTCTTATTAGTGCAAACGAACGAAAACGATACTTTTATACTGTATATATTGTATTGGTATGTACGAGATGCAAAAAATATAATAATACAATAAAATAGAAATAAAAATGATAATCACACTGTTATCACTATTTTGATCTGAAATTTCATATATTGAATTACCCGGTTATTATCTTACCTCTCTACTTACATTTAATTATAGATGTTTTTTCAAATAAAAATTATGTTAAAACCTATATTTAGTAAGAAAAATTAGTGCAATTTTAGGCTTTATGACCTATGATCCTCTTTCAAAATTCCATTTCATTTAGTTTTGCCCATTGTTTTCTCGTTTAGGGCACACGCATTTTTTCACTCGGGGACCATATGCCGCTTTTCATAGAATAGCACTAACGTGCCACATTGAAAGTTCCATGATAACCGCCATATGAGCACATTTGCGGATGTTTCAAAATTCAAAATTTTACCAGGCAGTACTTGTTAAATGTTGAATTCTGCTTAAGCCGGTGCTTCGGGGCTTGGATGGTAGCTTGAAATTACCACTACCGCCTAAAATCAGGCCAAATCAAACCGAGCCTGCAAAATTTTCAATTTTGGCGTGTTGGACTTTAATAAGAGATTCTAAATTTTCTCTATTTTCTTATATATTTTCTACTAGAGTGAAAAGATTTTATCATTTTTATTATGACGTTTTTTTTCTTCTCTCTACCTTACAGGCTGGAATAGCTGTCGGAAAATGAACATGACGTCATCATCAAAATTTGCTTTTTATAGTTTACTTTTTTTGAAATTCCACTGTTTGTTTATAAATAAATAATGAACTACAGTTTGGGTTCTGTCATTTATTTGATTTGGAAACATACGTCTTAAATGCATATTTAGAATAACCTTATGCAGACTAAGAACCTCATCACATGATTTAAAAATATATAAACCGGTCGGTACGTAAATGCACCTTGACAAGATAGAACTTGTACAAATTGTAATATGCGAATGGTCGAAAATGAATATCATTTTATTTTGGTTTGTCCCAAACACACAGAAATTAGGAATAAATATTTAAAACATTATTACTGTAGATAGGCTATCTACAGTAATAATGTTTTAAATATTTATTCCTTATTAAAAAAATAAAAATTTATTATCAACAACGTCACCTAAAGAATTAACTGGTTTAGGCAAATATGTTTATTTTGCATCTTGCAATAGACACAATAATTAAATTAATCTTTATGCTTACCTTAGTGCTAACCTTTTTGCACTTTCTTGTATTTGAATTTGTACCACTGTCTACATTATTTTATGTATACTATATGGCTATAATTTAGTTATAACATTTAAGAAGAAATAACATGTTGTTGCTGTATATAATGGTTATGACATCGTAAATTAAAGTTTCTCTTCTTGCAAATCCATTCCAAAGTCATACCAAAAACATATTTGTATGGTAACAATCACTATATGTCGTTTTCTGTGCTTTAAATAACGGGGAATTTGTGTGTAAAGAAGTTCATTATCTTTTTGAAATCAGGCAATTAATTATTGAATAGAAAATCAAAATTAACGCTAGATTTTATTGTAAGAGACACGTCAAATACATGTATTGTAAGGTATAATTATGACAAAACCTCAGTCACAGTTACTATAAAATTTATGAAACCACCATACCCAAAACGTATATTATTTATGATGATAGTGTTCTAAAAGTAAATTGAAAAAAAAACAACAACAAAAAACAAACAAACAAAAACACACACACACACACACACACACACACACACACACGCACGCACGCACACGCAAACCGCAAAAACTAAGTGTACACAGTAGAATGTTAAGACCCATAATGCTTTTGAAATGCTATCATTTCAATTTCTCAAAAGTGACCTGTAATGGTCACCATAATTTATGCATTAGCCAATTATTTGAACCTTGCTACTGTTCCTTTTTAATAAAATAGAATTTTGTATGGAAGTAAAAAAAAAGCTAAATTAATTTCTTTATATTGAATGCGCTGTTACTTGAAAATTATTATGTATGATATGCAATGTACAAATTAAAAATAAAAATTCTATTCTGTTCTATAAAATTAAAATGTGCCCTTTGTAGAGAAGGATTTTTGATTTGTTTCTGAGGCATAATGTGCCTTTGATAGAAATATATACAGCCATTTTGGGTCGTTTGTTTTTGATAGAAATGTGTAAGTAGCTTTATAAAAGCAATGCTTAAGTTAAAAGGACTCCACGGACGTTTTTTTTTTTTTTAGACATGACAGTGTTAAAAATAATTTTTCGAGATTAATGTTCTATTTGATGTAGACCAATAACTTAGATCATTTGCTCACTATGTTTTTTTCCAGAATAATTATTCTAATTGTGAAAAATGGCCAAAAATTGAAAAGCGTTTCAACGCTTTTTAAAACCGGGCTAAGAATGAGTACAAAATACGCGTTTTCCCAATTCAGTATATCAGTTAATTATCTTTTGCATATTTTTTGTTTTAAGTGTCCCAACTGATTTATGTAAGAAATTCAAATTTTATGTTTTTATGCTTTTGGACCTTAATACCTTTTAGTAATAATGTTTGTAGATTTATGATGAGGCGGGTAGCCCATGTGAGAAATTACTAATAGTATCATTTGAATAGTTTGTACTGTTTGCCAGAAAAACAATCACGCGCGACAAATGACAGGGACACTTTAAATGTTGGCCATAAGAATATACAGGGTTTTTCAAATAGATAGAAAATTCTATTTGAAAGGCCTTAGAATATAACAACAAATTAATTGTACTGTTTTTCTTTTCATTTTATATCATCTTTCCCCAGTTATGTAGAGCACTTAATCTTGTCAAGCGTAATCGGTAACCATACAGACATACATGTAGAGAAAACTTTATTTCCACTCTATGTATTAAAGCACAACACGATGATAAATATATTTTACAAATAAAGTTCAGACAGAAGTCACAAAAGCGAGATATTAAGTTTATTAACAACTTTTTTTTCCACATAATTATACCACATATACTGACGAATTAACAGAACTAGGTGACAATATCATTTTACTGTCACGTTACTGGAGATCTTCCCCTCCCTACTATAACACTATTTTCTCCATCTAACAGTTTACATATTAATTAAGCCAATATTGTGATGTTGACATGTCACGTTGTTTTTTATGACGATTTTATATTTACGTAAAAAATCTACAAAGCTGTGAATGCACTGAGAAAATCTACAAAGCTGTGAATGAACTGAGAAAATCTACAAAGCTGTGAATGAACTGAGACACTTGACATACAGCCTATTTGTTTATACGGAGACTAAAAAGGTGTTGGAGCACCACACTAAATACTGTATAAGGCGCTTGAATGATTTAAATCTTTTAATTAATTATAGTATATCAAAGTGCAATTTCGACGGGTTAAAAGGCGAGATATAAGCATTAAATCATTTATTATATATAATTAATTAAAAGATTTAGAATCGGGGAAAAATGTTTTTTTCCCCTCTTTGTGATCATGATTTTTGCAAGGTACTGCCCCAACACTAGTGAGTATGAATATTGTTAAATGAAAAAGTTCACATAACCCTAGAAACCCGAATCCTAACTTTATTTACAATGATAAACAGCTGGTAAATGTAGGTTATTTCACATACTTAGGTGTATGTACTATTTAATTCCAATGGCAAATTTAAATTTGGTAAAGCCAAGAAAAACGTTGTTGACAAGGCTAACAGAGCTGTTTTCTCTTATTAAAAAAGCTAGAACCATAACTGTTCAATTACAATTGTTTAATACTATGGTTGCAACTTTTTTATATGTTTTTGAGGTTTGGGGTAAAGAAAATGTTAGAATTATTGAACAACTTCAATTACGTGTTTGTAACTCATACTTAATTTGAAGTGATCTGAAGTCTTTGAAACCGAAGAATATGTCATTTTTGTCCAAACAATCTCTTGGGGGTGAATTTCATTACTTGTTTGAATCTAACTTTGAAGATCTTGGGATTTTCTTTAAATGTTTATAAATTTATCCAATACCTTGACCCCGCTGGGAATTTTGCACATTCTTTTAAAAATTTAAGGAATTTCAAAATTATATCTACAATTTTGAAGATGTTGAAATACAAATTAGTTCATCATTTGGAACATACCGGCTATTATCCCTTTTGCGAAGTTAGACGAAAAGGACCGAGAAGATGCGATTTGCACAGAGAATATTGGTTTTTTCGTTTTATAACATAGGTGAACTGTATGAAAATAAAAGTACGTTTCTGACATCATTAATTACATAATGTGTCTATGTTGGTTATTTCTTATCACCTTATTGTATAATAACTTCACATATCCATATACAAACTACATGTCTCATTTGTATCATAGTTTGGAGACCTTTCTGTTGAAAATGTGTCAGGGTTAAATCGTATACATATACATGCACAGTGCGTTAACTGGAGTGCGGGTATTAGTTACCCGCACTCCAGAGCATGCCCATTGATTGGCTCATTTTTGCTGGGGTTTACATACTGTGACGACAGAGAAAGGGAAAGCGATAGAAATGTCATATTCAGATGTTCGTTCATTGGTTCATTTTTGCCGGGGTTTCATATTGTGACAACAGGGAACGTGCTTTTATGTTTGACTATGATACAAAAGAGAAAGAACACCAAAACACTCGGCAATCTGATTAATACTCGGGGGCTACGCCCCCTCGTACAAATCAGATAGCCTCGTGTTTCGGTGCTCTTTCTATTACATTGATGGGGGCAATATAAGGATATCATTTTCACAGGTAAAGGTTTTCTAAAGGCTCATTTTACCTCAGAAATGTTATTATTTTTATTTCTCAAAAGTTTTTTTTGTTTTGTTTTTGTTGCTCTGCTACAGTTTCCAAAAAGTTACTTACTGACCCCAATAAGCTGGATCATCTGTTGCTTGTTAGCAATCAGTAGTTAAAATGATTTAGTTTTTTGTATGGAAGAACAATACTAACTTATTCACATTTTGATGACTTTTATTGAAAATTACTTTACATTCAGCGGCAATTATTTCAGATAATAAGCATATACTATGCTCTATGACTTAAACATAATAAAACTCACGGTTGACATTTCTATAGAAGGAAAACTTAATTCGTTTCTGAGGCATAATGTGCCTTAAACACGATCAATATCTTTTGTCGAACAAACAAAAAGACTAAAATATCTGCTTGAATACGATATGATGTACCAATACGTATTACATCATTAGCGTATATAACATAAGTAATAAAAACTGACTGTACATTTGTTGTACGGGACGGAGATATTTCATTTCTTACATTTATTGCATATCGTCCACTTATGTTTTAGTTTTACATTTGTATTGTGCAGTAATTCTGTTCTTTTCATCCGAGAAAGTCTACTTTGATTACATTTACTTCAAAGTGCGACTGAAATAGTCGCTTGTTGTACTGAAATATTTGTGAAGGCATAGAATGTGGTCGGGTAGGTATGCATCTTTTGAAATAAAATTCTCAAAATGGTTTTGTAAAATTGAACTAGTATCAGGAGCATTTTAGCTATATATGTCTATGCCACTTCAGCGCTCGATTTTAAATAACTTTTTGAAAAATGATATTTCATATGAAGCGTTTTTAGCAAAAAAAATGTTGTTGAAAATGTGAAAAACATTCAATTAAAACAATAAGCATTTTTACTGGCCAAATTTTGAGTTTCTCATTGTGTTTTTCATATATTTTATTGGAACTTTTCTTTAAAAGACTGTTAATGCGTTCTATATGCAATATATTTAAATATTTATACTTGCGCCTTTTAAAATTCCTTTTGAATCATTCTACAAGTGGCCAGCATGTTTTAATTTAAGTAAATATATTTCCAGTATATTTGCCAATTTTATAAGGTCCAAATAACATTTTCAAAGTGTGAATGCCACACGAGAACGTGTGATGATAAAGGTGTTTAATTAAGGTCCGATTTAATTAATTACTAGAAACGTGCTGAATGTGACACAATTCAACACCACTTATTAGACACACAGGACACAAGATTAGATACCTATAGTATATATAAAAATCATTTTATTTATGTTCAGTTAAACTGCTACTAGATATACCAGTTGTTACAAGTTGAAACCCTTGACTAGTTACATTTAGAATACAAATTCTAGATAGCCTATGAAAAATGTTTATCACAATTTATTTCATTTTATGTCTTTTCTATCTGAAGGAGAACTATGTTATAGGCATTTTACAGGAAAACGAAGCTAAAACTGATGGATACATGCGCAATTTAAGAAATATGTGTCCGTTCAACAAATTCTGCGGATTCAATCCACTTAAGGTATGTAATGTTTGTACAGTTTAGACAAAAATCTATTTTAAACAGTAGTTTTCCGGCCGAAGGCAGGTCTAAAATCAGTTTGACTTCCTGTAAAATAACAGGGAAGAAATGAATATGAGAAGTTTTCATTTGTCATTTTAAAATTTCAAAATGACATCTGGAAATCTCATTAACCATTATAAAATAAAATGTAAAGGACAGTTCTTTTCATTCTAAGATAGTTCTAGCTAAGGATAGTTATTGCCATTATAAAAAAAAACAATTCTTTGCCTTTCTAGTTCAATTGCTCAGATAATTTAGTTCCGTTTAACAATACTTCCTCCAACAACAATGTATTCAGATAGCATTACATTTTCTAGAGAACAGTTTATTTTACGTATGAACTAATTACTGTGTTTATTTTACACAAGATCTGAGTTTTAAATTGTGTTCAAAAATAACGAGAATAATATCAGGTACCATAAGTTTACGATGTTAAATAAGTGTCTAATATATTATATGATTATTGATGTGTTCAATTGATTTAATGTTTAACATTTTCATATATTTTTGCATAATTTTCAAGTATTTATTAAAATAATTGTCAACTGACTGCATAGATATTGGTGTTAGAAACTTACTACACTGACTGGAACACGACAGGTTCGTTAACAAACAAATTCATTTTAAAGTGTTCCATTCTTCAAGATTAATAACCCTTATTAAATTGGTATGTCATTGTTATGCAAGCTATGCTTACATTTCAATATGACTTTATATGGAAACTAAGAAATAACATAATAATGCAAGTTAACCAGTTATACTTCGGCCTAGTATCTTTGTTTTAAAGACACTTCTTGTTTTCTCCTGTACAAGAGAGTCGGGGGAAAAACGGGTTCAAAGTAACAAAAGTGTTCCATTTAGCTACGATCATATGTACAAATTTTTATTCAAATGTCAAATTCACGTAACACATCTTTGAAATTACGCGCATGCCAATGACGATCTATTTATCTATGGTGGCTGATTTGGTACACTTTACGCGTTGCGTTGTCGATAGCGCCCCCGCTTATTAACGTGTTTTCGCTCCGCGCCCCCGCCATTTTAACTTGTTGATTCTCGCTTTTTCGCTTGACGGGTTCGCGGGGCGTTAATTTAGCTGTGTGTGACCTTTTAAATCTAAATAAAACTAGAACTATCACTGAAGGTGATTCATACCCCCACCTTATCTATTTGAAAATTAAGCGGTCTGAAGTCAAATCTGAACTGTGTTTTACAATTGATTACAGTCTAGATCACGTGATCTGTATACCATTTTTTATAATGTAAAATACAGGGTTGGGTTTTAAATGACATCCATTTCTAGAATAATTTTGATATCAACCTTATTGTTTTAGTTTTTTATCGAGGCTAATTAATCAATTAATTGAATTAATTAATTAGTTTATTTATTATTTTACTTTTTCATTATTCAATAATTTTGTTATAACACGTAATTCTGTAAATATATTTTTAACTTAACAGAAAATTGATAGACCTTATATGGAGCCATGTTGTGACAAGTGTTCGTGTGACACTGATTGCTTTGAGACCGGAAGTTGTTGTCCTGACATGCCATCGTCCACACCGGTTGAACCGAAGTATCCTTGCAAACATTTATGGGATTTTGGGAAACTTGGTGAAAACATGCATCGTACCAAAGGGGATGATAATTGGTACAATGTCATAAATGAATGTCCAGATGAAATAGACGCTAATCCATACCAAAAATGTTACACACCAAAAGATATTCAAGATTATGTGATTGTGGTTGATAACAAAAAGGGTAAGCTCTACAGGAACAAATACTGTGCCGAGTGTAATGGAATAAAGAACTATGACCAGCTCAATTTGCGTATAGTTTGTCCTGACAAAAATTATGTCAGTTACTTTGACCAACTAAAAACAGAAGAAAGACACAGTTATATAATGGAAAACTGTTCCATAGCATCACTCCCTCCAACTTGGCGTACTGGGCAGTCACGATGTTGGCCAAAAACAGAGGTAATATCAACTTGTAATATGACAGGAAAATGGGATTTCTATGACAACGATATCGAAAAAGGTTGTATGACACAGGGACAGAATATGGTTTTTAGAGTGTCTGATAGATTTGGACTAGAGAAACATTATGCAAACGTGTATTGCTTTCTTTGCAACACACCTGCTGCAACAAACAAAACAGATCTCTGCAAAACAATTAATACAGTAGACAACATGAAAACCACTTTAGTGAGTTTTTATGCTATTCTTGATTTGAACGCGTGGGAAGATGATGAGGCGATGGAAAAAGATAACACCAAATGCGATCCGATGCAAATATGGGACCCATTTTCGGTATGTTTAACGGTTTGCCATGAGTTAATACACACTTCACTGAGCATTTTTAATTGAAAGTTCTGTCACACATTTATAACATATAAAAGACTAATTTTAATTTTTTTATGGTGTAAAATTATCTGTCATTGTCAGTTTATTGTTTCTAGCACTCGTTTTTGCAAATAATTTTTGTTTTTGATATTTTCAGAAATTATGCAGACAAATCTTTTGTCCATCTGGACAAATGCCAAATTACGGAAGTTGCAAGGGACTCTTTAGTAATATAAATGGCTATACACTCGTTGTTAATTTTGAAGTAAACATTAAAAATGGAACATTTTCTCCTGACAAAAATGTCTTGAACATTTTGCAGCATCGTTTAAATAAAAAATTGGGCAACGACATATCATGCGGAGTTTGTAGAAAGTCCCTGTTTATCAAATATACATCAACACCAAAATTCTATTTCCGCTACGAGATGTTTGCAACACATGGATGTCCGTATCACACTTTACTAGATAGGATACGAAAAATAGCTACGAGGAAAGAAATTCTTCTACAATTTAGACATAAAGGTCAAATCAATCGCATTTCACTGGTTTTGATTTTCGAAGATATCCGTAATATGCCAGGTTTCAAACTGTTTGCTCAAACAGTATCATCTTTCTGTCAAACTCCCAGAGTCATAGATGCATCAATCCTGTTATATTGCCCAATGATATCTTTATCTATGAAAGAAATAAATACATTAGGATTAAACAATGTTAATAAGGACCCAAGCAGTGTTGTTTTGCAGGTAAATGGTTCAGAACCTATATATCATCAAGTATGTATTGATAGTTACTTCTCAGCAAGGCAAGCCAAGTCAGCTTCGATTGCAGTTAATGGCTTCAAAATGTATTACATGTATGTGTTTCCGGTACTTATATTCTCAATTTGCTTACGTAACACGTTTTAATATGAAATAATGATATTCAAGGCAATATTGATCAGATAAGACGGTACAGTCTTCGTTTCGAATAATAAATAAATAAAATCAGTGAAAGCGTCCATTGAGTGCAAAGTACCTTGAATTTGGCAGCTTGTCTCTAAGTTCAAATAGTTGGCGACTTACATTTTACAAGTAGGTGGTATCCTGATGATCTTCAGAATATCTGTTGTTTTCTTTTTGTATCCGACACACTTTTACAAAAAGAACAATTTCATATGGTTATGCTTTAATATTAATGAAATTTTAAATTTACAAGAACTACTACACAGTACAGTTGGAAGGAAAATCCTATTAAATCAGTGAAGTACAAATCGTAATGGGCATATGGTTTGAAGTGAATGAACTTGACCACTCCACTCGCCCTTTTATATTCAAACTTTACAGACGTTCAGTTATAAAGACAGAATCAGTCGGAAAATCATAAAGAGGAGATACTAACAGAATAAAAAATGACCAAGTTCAGGTATGGAGGGTGATTTATGCTAAAATTACATCTTGTTTTCTTGCGTTACATCGTGCTTTCTAACTTGTACATCGTGCTTTCTAACTTGTACATTATGCATTCTGACATATACATCTTGCATTCTGACTTTTACATCTTGCTTTCTTACATGCACATTATGCTTTCTGCTGTGTGCGACTTGCTTACTTTTATGTTGATGTCGTTTTTAAACGATCAATTATTATTCTTTTGTTGATCTGGTATATTAATTCAATAAATTAACCTGCAACTGTTTGTATTTGGGTCTATTTACTCAGCTTGAATGACGAATGTCATAAGGTAGAATGCGCATAGCCGAAAGCCGAATGCAGCAAGCATAATACAACGCGACATCTGGTGTAATAATATGTGACACCCAAATTATGCTAACAGGTGGCGCTACAGTTATATTCTCAGTAAAGTCCGTATTGCGGTTCGGAATCAGTTTACCAAGTTACGTCCCTTTGTTTTAAAATTTCCATTTGCACTCATGGAAACGATTTAACCAATTTTTATATTTATTAATGAAACTCTGTAGGTCAAATTATATTTCAAGCTGACAATGACAAGTTGCACATTTCCAAGTCAATGGTTTTAGAATTTAATTTTTTTCATCAACAAAATAATTATAAAATAGAACAGTTGTTCAACATTGTTCAAAGTGCTTGGGCCATAAAAAACTTATTATTAAAATATTTCATCCTTTTGAAAAGTTCTTAAATTTTGACATGGCTTATTTCCAATACCTGTGACCATCCACAACATTTTTAATGTGTTTTTATTAATTAGGACATTTTCTTGCCTATTTTCAAACTAATTTTGTACACACGTTAGATTTTTTTTAAATTCAACTTGTCAAAAAAATGTTTTTTTTCCCTAAATGGCTTTATGAATACGGCCCAGGTTCTTGTTCACAGTGTCAGCTTAAAACTGAAGGAACTGCTGCCAAAATCAGCTGATTCTGAGAAAAAAAAAATAAAATGTCAAAACTGTCTAGTCTGTCAGACTTAAGACAGTTTTGCCCTTTTTTTCTTTTGCAGCGGCACTGGCTACCTCTCTTCATTTGAATTTTTATGTCACAGGTACCCTCTCATTTTTTAACACATACGTACCCACAAGGCACGAAATATGCTTTTATTTGCGTTAATCGTTAAGTATGTAATATTTACATAAAAGTAAGAAATATTACATACCTATTTAACGATTAACGCAAATATTATAAAAGCATATGTTGTGCCATGAGGGTACGCTGCAAAACCGAAAGTATGGTGTTTTTATGAATTTTACATTTATTTTTGACAATATACTGCCATTTGTCCGAAGATGATATGTAAATGAACATATTAAATATGTATGATGCATATATAATCAAGCCCACGGTTCATTGCAGCCCGAAAAGTATGTCGAGGTGATGGGCGAGGCAAGACATGTCGATTTTTTGTAGCTTATTGTGAAGTTGCAGTACATGAAAAATGGGCACATGACAAATCAGCACATAAATAAAACATTCTAGTGTTCCGTGGTATATATCTTTTGTACGTGCCAAACCCCCTTTCCTTATTACATTGAAATTTTACTGGATTGTTATCCATCGCTGGTTTTGTTTTTTAGCAGAGAATGACCTGTGGCATGTGTAAAGAGGGTACCGTTTGAGCAGATTTCGCAAAGAGGGTACCGGTATAGATATGCACCGTGGTGTAGCTTCAGTACGAATGATTTCATAATATTAATTGATGAGTACATAAAAACAAAATGTACAAAAATGGTCCCAATAAATGGTTATAAAATGAATATTGCATGTTTGGCTGAAGATGCCTTATTAGTAGTTTTCTTTAATTAAAGCGTTCATGATATTGGAAATGTATAGCAGATCTTACTCATTTAAAACAAAAAAGGTTTTATACCTTAAGCAATACAAACACCACTGAGAATGTAGAAAAAAAATGTTTATTAATATCTTCTATGACAAACAATTCATTTGATTTTATAACCATTTCTTGGGACATTTTTGTACATTTTGTTTTTAAGTACTCATCAATTAATATTATGAAATAATTCGTCCTAAAGCTATAAACTCTCACAGATTGACAGACTAGACAGTTTTGCCCTTTTTTTCCCAGAATCAGCTGATTTTGGCAGCAGTTCCTTCAGTTTTAAGCTGACACTGTGAACAAGAACCTGGGCCGTATTCATAAAGCAACTTAGTGAAAAAAATACATTTTTTTGACAAGTTGAATTTAAAAAATCTAACGTGTGTACAAAATTAGTTTGAAAATAGGCAAGAAAATGTCCTAATTAATAAAAACACATTAAAATGTTGTGGATGGTCACAGGTATTGGAAATAAGCCATGTCAAAATTTAAGAACTTTTCAAGAGGATGAAATATTTTAATAATAAGTTTTTTATGGCCCAAGCACTTTGAACAATGTTTTAAACAACTGTTCTATTTTAAAATTATTTTGTTGATGAAAAAAAAAAATTCTAAAACCATTGATTTGGAAATGTGCAACTTGTCATTGTCAGCTTGAAATATAATTTGACCTACAGAGTTTCATTAATAAATATAAAAATTGGTTAAATCGTTTCCATGAGTGCAAATGGAAATTTTAAAACAAAGGGACGTAACTTGGTAAACTGATTCCGAACCGCAATACGGACTTTACCGAGAATATAACTGTAGCGCCACCTGTTAGCATAATTTGGGTGTCACATATTATTACACCAGATGTCGCGTTGTATTATGCTTGCTGCATTCGGCTTTCGGCTATGCGCATTCTACCTTATGACATTCGTCATTCAAGCTGAGTAAATAGACCCAAATACAAACAGTTGCAGGTTAATTTATTGAATTAATATACCAGATCAACAAATGAATAATAATTGATCGTTAAATAACGACATCAACATAAAATTAAGCAAGTCGCACACAGCAGAAAGCATAATGTGCATGTAAGAAAGCAAGATGTAAAAGTCAGAATGCAAGATGTATATGTCAGAATGCATAATGTACAAGTTAGAAAGCACGATGTACAAGTTAGAAAGCACGATGTAACGTAAGAAAGCAAGATGTAATTTTGGCATAAATAACCCTCCATATTCAGGATTTTTTGTTGTTGTTATACGTGCTAACAAAAATAATTGTACAGTTAATAAAATTATGAATAGATTTGCAATGCATGTTGATATGGTCGAACATTATTTATCAATACAATGGAAAACTGTTACCTGAATTCTAGACAGGTATGAGGAAATTCACTAACACATGTTCATGCGAGTCATAGATATAAGAGCTACTTGACATTGGTGATAAATAAAGAGCTATTGTTAGTTGATTTATTGGGAGATCAATCAATAATTTTGTTGAATTGCTTCAAATCCTCGTCTGACCCACAAGTGTGTTTCCTAACATACATATACTTTAATTTTAAGATATAAAGCGAAGTAACAAAGTTTAACAAACAAATCAAGACAATATTAGATACTTAAGATATTTTATTTCAAAAATACAGTTAGTGAAGCTTAAATTCAAACGATTTAAGAAATCCGTTTAGTTTAACAATTAAGCTACAATCTGTTCCAATCTAATAATTTTTCTAGATCTTTTTTGGCGTGTCTTAAGTGTTTCATGATGGTGTTTGCATTCTTCTCTGCCTGTCTTTTACTGCTTCTGCAAATAAAAATAAGAAGTTAGTAGTTAAAAGAGACTTGGTCAATCTAAAGTTCTATATAAAATTAGTCAATTTAGTGATTTGTTTTTACATCATAAAACAGCATAAAATTGCGATATAGCTGAAGTTTCATATTGACAGCAAATTGTGTACATAAAACAACCAAATCTTTTTTAAAAAAGAAGCTATCTAAAAGTCTCACGTATGATTGGTTAGAAAAACGGCTCCCCATCAGTTACTTGGAAGCATTTTCCAAGAAGTATTCATTTTAGGCTCTAGCTAAGACCTTTTATGTTTCATCCTGAAAATAACAAATGTGTAAATTTATTTTTATAGTGTTACAGAAGTTTTCTAAAAATAATATATTATTAAGAAAAGATAAATATCCAGTACTGTAGCTGAAATATTTATAATTTGTAAAGAATATTTATATCAAATAATATAGAATTTCAATTTAACTGACAGTCCTTTCCATGTTGAATGTATGGTATACAGGATACGGCTGCAATACTCTCAATTTCAGCCAGGGCCAGGATCTAGAACATAAAAATAGATTTATTATTATTTCCTATAAATTCTTGACAATTAAACTTAAAAGTCAACATTCAACTTTGATATTTAACTTCAATGACAGTTGAATCAATTTTTTTAAAAGGCAATGAATAAAATGTTTTTTTTTCAAACTGATTTACACTGAATTGTAAATACAGCTATATTGACGAATCGTCTTGGGATGTAAATTATGTGGGCCGAACAAAACTTTATAGGTTATAATTTTATAATTGATTGAATTTTAATAAGCACAGAAAAATGTTTAATAATATGAAAAATAAAGTTAAAAAAGGCAAGACTTGTAAAATCATAAATTGCCAAGGACATCAATTACGTCGCGTAAGGCCTACCCAAATTGGGGCCAAAACATTTAATTAGGTCGCGAAAACATGTCAAATCAACTCAATATCATGTGTTTTCATCTCTCTTTTCTTTCATAAAGTAAATCAAACGCGAATTTTCAGAATAAGAAATTATTTTTTTGAAAATAATCAGTAAACTAAGATATAAAAAAAATACGGTGATACCTTCGAAATCCAATAAAATGCCGACTCCTCTGTATTTTCAAATTTCAAAACAGCACCACCATTTTCAAGAACGATAATCATAGCCAACAAAGTATCCGCAACAATTACTTTCGCTGATCAACGGGATTTTGACCAATATCAACTAAATAATATAATTCATAAAAAAAAACTAAAAA